CGTACGTACGTAACGTACGTACGTACGTACTAGTACTACGTACAGAAGACGAGAGAGAGAGAGAGATAGTAGANAGAGAGAGAGAGAGAGAGGAGAGAGAGAGAGAGAGTCCTACGAGTCTCTTATAAACACTTTGGAAAGCCTTGCAGAATTTCTCCGCATCTGCTGCATTCATCTGTGACAATTAATGGCAACTCCAATCTCAACAACTTAGATTAAGTGTATAATACACGAACAACAAAGATGCAATCCATAAGGAGATCAAAAATTTAAGAATAGGTTTGAAACAGTGAAACTCAAAACCAGTACCAATTACTAAAACTGAAAAAGTAATACAAGATTTGGGAAAATTAGCAACAAGCGTGAAGGAAATTACATGCAGCAGTGAATGCTTCTGAGTCAAAAGAACACATAAATTGGCAATTGAACTATGAAAAAAGAAACAAAAAAATACAATACATCAAACCAGGGCTCCAAAAATCGCCAATTCGGATTGGGAATTGCTGATCTAGATTGTGGCTGGGCTGATTCCTACCAGGAATGCGGAATCAGCCCTAATCTCTCATATACAACTTGTTTTATATGTTTGTTTTTGATGATTTGAACTCGAAATAAACCTATTTCCTATGGATTTATGCAACTTCTGTTTTCCTTTTTTAAAAAAAAATTATTTTTTGGTTGGATCAGCAATCTGTATTATTGAATCGGATGATTCAGATTGGCCCAATGGAGGACCAATCCAATGGGATGACCAAATTTAAAACCCCACATCAAACAAAAACCACATACCTTTTTCTCAGCAGCCAACCTCAATTTCTCCCAAAAGGGATCTGTCAAAGAAAACAAACATGGCCAACACTCAAGATTTTCCAACAAAAACAAAAGAAGACTTACTAAATCAAACAAACAACTGAAAACTAAATGTCTTTAGACCAGAATGCTCACTACTTAGAAAGTCCATGATATTTCTGCTAACATATGCAATGAGTCGCAGTACACATACTGCATAATAGAGAGAGTTACAAGGGAGGTCCTTTCTAGCCAAGGTTTGTGTCTTCTTGTATAGAGTTGTGCAGCCATCTCCAGAAAAGTTTCCTCGTCTCTCTTCACCTCTCTCAAGGGGCAGTTTTTATTGGTTGAAGTGCCTCCGGCTTGTAGTGCAGTTGTAGTTCTACAAGAATTTATTATAACTTGGAAAAATCCAAGGAATAAAAACAAGTCATAGGAGGTTTAGATATATAGGAGTTATTTATATATCATGGGGCGATGGAGGACGAGAAGAGAATCAGGTTATCTAGCATGCGCGTGTGTGTGTATACATGGTTTCTTTCATTCTCTATTGGGCACACTCTTGAGTAGAGGAATGAAGGCAGGAAAGACTACTAGGTCCATTTTTTATTCATGCCATGGCTAAGCGCAAAATCAAGGTCCATTTTTTATTTATGGGTAAAAGTAGCTTCAATGTATCATCAGTATTGGGGGTCCTAGTCTTCTGACCAATCTATTACCAGTGGAATGTTCTCCTTTATTTTTATTTAATTCCCATTTTTATAAAGGAAAAATTTTATATAAGATTTTAACCTTTTTTTTTTTTTTAATATGTTAACTGTTATAAGATCGCAACCTTAAAATGTATAATTAAGGTGCACCTCAAAAATCCATCATAAAAGGTTGTTTTGATGTTGAAAAACCCTCTAATTGGTAATCTTGACATCAAGATGTTTGAATATGAAAAGAAAAAAAGATTTCGAGTCCTAAAAATAATATATCTCGCAACACATTATCTAGACCGTCCATTTTAAAGATTTTCAACAGTTTATGGAGCAACTTGATTTGAACCATTTTTGGAGTTTAATATTTTATAACTAGAAATGACAATAGATTCTCAAGCCATCCAAAGAATTTTTTACACCAAAATTATATTTATGATAAAATTTGGAGGTTTGCCTTAATTTGATTGTTTAAGGTTGCAATGTTATACAAACCATACCCTTTTATTGATACGTGAAAGGAAAGTGAAGATAAATTCAAAGTACAGGTTCTAATGATTCAAGGCAGCCTTGGCCAAGCATTTTTTCCTACACTCCCAGCCATCAAAATTTACTAGAAAACTGCTTTCAGTGAGGTAAGCATGTGTCAACTCGTGCTATCAACATTTGTTCTCTTTCTTTTATCTGTCATAGTGAAAAATAGATGTCGCAGCCGCAAAGAACTAAAAGCAAAAACCCTCAATTTCCCTTTTTCTCTTCACCTTTTCCTGAAGGTGGTTGATTTAACCTACAAATTGCTAAAAACTTTGCACTCTCTCCTTAAGATTCAATTCATATCAATGATTCCCATAGAGATTCACACAGGGACAATTGATCCCGATCCAAAATAGACAGAAATTCTCTAAAGGGATAAAATTCCTAAAATTATTTTTACTCGCATCTCCAAAAAACCCAATTGGCTATGTGGATTTTGTGAAACCACAATCTCCAATTCCCATAATACAAATATTTGTATTTACAATATACAAACTGTAATAATGGACACAAACAACATCAGCAGAGGAAATGAGATACAGACATTAAGGGATAGAGTAAAGCTAATCATGCATGGCCCTACACTACGGTCGAAACCTAATTCAAAGCAATTCAGTAAGTCATTCATGAATCAATATAGAACAATGAAACATACAAATGTGACAGCATGAAATGCCACTTCATTCATATTAGTAAAAGGGAATACGATTGCCAAAACCCGAATTCAAAATTTGAACGGTATGGTCAAAAAATCGATTTCTTAAATTGACCTGGTGATCTCGTTTCATGCTAGCAATAATATTTTTTTATTTTCTTGAATAGCACGACATGAAATAGGAAAGCATAACATTCAAGCCAAATAATATCAGCATACCTTCTAAGTCGATTGCTTGAACTTTGTTTCCTTTCATGTCTAATTCAGCCCATGCATCTTGCCATTCCATTATCTGCTGTGGCAAGGTACAATATCATAAGTCATAACTTCAATATGTATCGCTATGAAATTTTATCATGGCAAAGTACACTATTATCCAATGGACAATGGCTATGGAAAACAACCGTCGATTGGGGGTCATCAATATCCACTGAAATGATGGAATATGATGTAGAAAGAGTGAGACCCATTTTTCCATAGTCCATTGGGTTACAATATACTTTGCCTTTCATCATAGAGATTCAAAGAGAGAAACAAATACAGCCACTCAACTTCGTCCTTCTCTGTCTGTGAAGATATTTGTCTTGATGCATCAGTATCAGCCTGAAAACCAACACAACTAACTCAAAAGGAAAAAATGGCATGTGATAAATAATAAAGGGGCATATATTGAATCAGAAAGCACATAAAACTTAATGGATAAATCATCATAAACCATATAATCTTAAGAGTCCATAAATAAACTAAATAAATGTCTAATACCACAATTTTCATTGGGTGAATGTGAGATGGGACCATCACACCCTCGATATATATTTTCACCAACTGACCAAAGACTATCATTTCTCTTTCAGTCTCCAATACATACATTGTCTCACTCATTGAGAGAGTAACAACGACATTTTCTTACTCTAATAAAATCAGCATGTAAAATAAAAAATCCAATCCATTCTACCAAGCACTAAGTATGAAAGCCAGCATACTATGATAATATTAAAAGAAACAAGAAAGCAGCAACTATAGCATATAGCCAAATACTAGGTACTTGGCAAGTAGAACCAAAGACTAAAAACGTTCAAGAACGAAGCATAATGGCATACTAAATTTAAATATACAAAATCAATTTGATTTTCAGGCAAACACTTTTGTCAATGAATTGTAGCTAGATATTGTGTGCCCAAAATCTTTCCAAAGTGAGCTCAAATCAACTAGGAAGGTTGCCATAATAATCTTTTAAGTATTGGTCATTAAAAATAAAAAAAAAGAAGGGTTTTGAACAGGTTGGATATTATTCCCTAGAACAAAAAACAAGTGATTCTAAGCAGCGCCCTGCTCGTGGGCTCTATTTTCGCCCACAAGTAGGGAGGAAAAATGTGGCTGCATAGGCTTGCCTCAATGCAGCCAACCACCTCCTAGGCAGCGCGCCAAGTAGACTGCCTAAATGGGCCAAACAGTGTGGCTCATCCACCTTTATGTGGCTACATTTGATGACACTGCCTTAATCTGTGCAAAAATGTAGAACAATCGTTCATCCAGAAAAACTAGACAAAAGCTCCAAAAGTAACAACTAAGGATGACCTCGAGATTAGGGCAGGCAATGGCCTGGCCCAGCCCTCCCTCCTTTTTCTTGTTTTCTCATTTATTTTGTCTCCATTCTTTTGGCCTGGCCCAATGGGGATAAGGGCTGGGGCTGGGGCTGGGGCTGGGGCTGGGGCTGGGGCTGGGGCTGGGGCTGGGCCTGGGCCTGGGCCAGGGCTAGGGCCAAAGCCAAGGCTAGCCCAGCCCAGCCCCGGCCCGTTGCCACCCTTACTCGTGACCCCACCTCTTGCCGAGGAGCGGCAAAGTATATATTCCCGACAAGAATATCAAAAAGTCATTGTGACAAGTGTTAGCAAGTGCAAGAAATTCTTCAAAAATATTGGCCAAGCACCAAGGGCACACCAAATTCCTACTTACCCATGCTATGACATAAGACTAATCTCCATCAACTACTAAACTTTTCCATATGGGGTCTAAGCATCTTAAATATTTAAGCATTGCAGTCCTTTGGCCACATTCGTGTCACAGCAGGCTGCAGGAACCAGAAGAGAAGGATTCATGTCATACCAAGTGGTCATGGATGACCTGCTCTAGTGTGCATGGACACTGGAACGAGCGTTAAAGTCCGAAACCCCAAAAAGCAGATACGGCAAAACATGTTGGTACAAGTAAAATTTTTATCAAGATTCAATAATGGTGATTAGTTGGCAAAAGTGGTAGGACATATGACTCCTTCCACGGGTCACGATTGGAAGCAACTTCACAATCATCATCATCATCATTATCCGAGCCTTGTCCCAACTCCCAACTATTTGGGGTCATGTTTAGCCATTCCACTCTATGATTCGGAACAAATTAATGGGAAACTTATTGGTTTTACTATACACCCCCATTGTCAACACCAGACACCAGCCCTAGGTTGGAGGTATGCAACTTGGACATGCATTTCATGGGTCGTGGCACATGTCGACGCATCATGAAATTAACAATGGTGGCCGACACTCTAGACAATTTTTTTAACCCTATTTTTTAAAATCACTATCAAAGTACTCAAACCCAACGCAATTAAGCCCAAACGTCATTGCACCCCATGTAAATCAATAAATGGATTTGTAAATTTCCCAGTCATCTTGGTCTTGTTTCCTTTCAATTGTCTCCTCTGGTTCACTTACAAAGAAAAAAAAGAAACCCCTTCCTCCGATTTTTCATGAATTCATGTTTCTCAAATCAATGGGAGAAACTGGTTTCACTCAAAGAAAGCAAGCCAATGAAATAAACTATTGTTTTCGGTTTTCGGTTTTGGGTTTTGGGTTTTCGTTCTTACATGTTGTAGAAGATAACATTTCACATACAATCAGGCATAAGGAAAATTCCAATGGAAATCAGGGTAGAATATAGAACCCCAAACACCAGGTAATTAAGGAAAAATACCCAATGCAATACACACGCAGAGAGAGAGCAAGTGTGTTGCAGGATTACAAAGGGTAGAGAGAGAAAGAGAGGGCTTACACAGTAAGTGCGTGATCGAACAACAGGGAACATATGGAGGAGTTGTCGAAACTCTGCTTCGTCCATTGTTACCTCTCCTCTTGCAGTCGATGCTTCAAATCTCTCTCTCTTTCTTCCTTTTTAACATGTGACAACGAAACGGGTATTCGTGTTTATGAAAGCATCTAATAACCTAGTTACATATCCTCATAATAAATATTTTAAGAAATATATAATAAAGGAAAAAATTTACAGAAGGGTTAGGTTCTAAATAATTAAAGGTGTGCATAAAAAATTTATTAAGAAAATATTGTTTCGATGCTGAAAAACCCTCAATTTTATTATCTCTCGCCTCAAGATGTTTGTACATTAGAATAAATAAATTTCAAGTCTTGAAAATAGTGCATATTGCAAGGTATTATCAAGACCGTCATATTTTTAGATTTTTTAGGTGTCTATAGATCGCCTCGATGTATACTATTTTTTACCTTTAAATTTTATAATTAGATATGAAAATAAAATTTCAGGGATTTTTATACTAAAACAAAATATTTCAGCCTTATTTGAAGGTGCGTCTTACTTTGATTGTTTAGAGGCCTCGGAATTATACAAACTACACATAATATAAATTCTAGTTTATTAGTGCTTTAAAAATAAAAAAAAAGTTTATATAAGGATGAAGCCCTAAACAATTAAATTAATGGGAAACCCCTCAATTCTCATCGTAAATTAAAGCGAGCCTTCAAATTTTATCATAAATATAATTTTGGTGTAAAAATTCTTGAGATGACTTGATATCTATTTTGATATCCAATTATAAAAAATTTTAAACTTAAAAAATAATTCAAATCAAGTATATCTATAAAGAAAATGGACAGTCCAGATAATAAGTTACAAGATACACTATCTTAGGGATTCAAAATCATTTTCTCTTTTCATATTCATACATCTCAAATTAAGATGATCAATTAGCGGATTTCCAACATCAAAACAACTTTTTATGATGGATTTTTAGCTGCACCTTAATTCTATAGTTTAAAATTACAACTTTATGTAAACTTTTTTTTTTAATTCTATATTTTAAAATTACAACTTTATGTAAATTTTTTTTTTATTTAATTGAAAGTATCGATACATATTAAAAAATTGTTGATATTATCAAACACAGTATGGTATCGGTGGAATGTCTATTCGTGTCTACAGTTGATCCGTGTCGATATGCAACACTAAGAAAAATATGAAGTGTCCAGGTAACATTTGCGCATATACTATGCTTGGGAGCTCTACATTTTCCTCACGGGACTTCCTTAGGGGAGAATTTTAAATCGTTTGGATTTTTCGAGCTCATATGCAGGATCATATTGTGTATCTACTCCCTCACTCAAAACACCTACTTAGCAAAATATTTTTAGTATGAAGTTTTTGAGAAACACATAATGATTATTAGATAATTATTTTTAGAGAAATTTTGAAAATTTTGTGATACTTAAATCTAACATTTGAAAAATTGGACGGTCTCTATTCAATCTTGAAGCACAAGTTTTTTTTAGTACTTAAAGAGTTTATTTTAGATTTTGTTTACCTAAATTATTCTATAGGTTGTTCCAGAGTTTGAGATCCAAATAGTATCTATAGTATATGTTTTGCCCGAGGGAGGGAATAGATAGAATTCTCCCTAGCGAGGAAGGAATCTTTTTGGCTTTTTTTTATCTTAATTTTGGGAACCACAAATCATAAGATGGTTATGTTCAAAAAGAAAAAAAATTGATTTTTGAGTTTGCTGACGCTTAGATTTCACTCTTCAAACGGTTTCTATTTAATCTTGAGGCGTTACTTTATTCAATCTCACATACAATGTGATAATGGGATTTTCCTTATTGAAATTGGTACCCGAAGGAGTAAAGAGACAATATTGCTCCCTGAGAAGTATAAAATATTTTTTAGCTTTTTTTTAATCTCGGCCTTATACAAGCCGCACCCTTTTCATATTGAATGTAGAATTTCTATCGAGAATGGCTTGTGGCCTCGGTGGTAGTATTGTAGGGGCTAAATCCCACTTATTTTTAAAAAAACAAGTAGGGGCTTGATCTACCCAAATATATATATATATATATATTTATACCGTT